CAGGCGCTGGCGTCGGGTCCGCGAGTCTCTGCGACCCTGAAAGTGCTGCTGGCGGTGCGCGCGCTGGAGGCAGGTGATTGGACGGAACCGTCGCGAACTGCGCCGCTCGGCTGCGGCCCCGCCGGTCCCTCCCGGGCGAGGCAGGGTTGGTCCGCTGCCCGGCGATGGGAAGGGTAGGGTGGGCCGTCTAGGGTCCCGCTGTCCCAGGAGTGTCTGCAGGGCCTGCTCGGGTCACTTTGTTAGGGGAGGGAGAGAAATTCTTACTCTTTCGACTAATAAGCCTGAATGCTCTCCAAAAGCCTGGTACCACCGCTAATTCCAGCTTTTGCTGTGAAGGTAGATTTTCCTAACACCATCTTTGTATGATTTAGCTGTCCACAGGGAATCAAAATGTGGAATGAGAAGATGAAACTAATCCTTTCTCTTGCACTGTTAGGGGTTGCCATAAACACCATTTGTTAAAAAGCATAATTATGTTGGGAAAGTGCCTGATGAGACAATTAAGCTACATAAACACACCGAAAACAAATGAAAGCCAGAAGACGCCCACACCCCTGTGTAAAGCAATTTTTTGTTTACATAAAAACCAGAGGTCTGAGCTGCTTTAATACAACAATGTTATTAATGCCCAGATAAACCTAATGACTGTATCTTTATGAATTTTCGATGCGATGATGGTCACAACCATGAGCTCCTGACCCCCTCTAGATTAGGATGATTAGGCCATCAATCCTAGTGAATGGGAACACTTATTTGCACCCAGCTTAAATTTATAAGCTTAATGTGTGTCTCAGAGTTGGACACCGTTCACTCAAGTATCCCCCACACGGAGAACATTACCTGACACAAAATGACCTTTGTCTGTTTGTTGAATGAACTTATGAGGGCTACATTCATTTTTAGATAGGATATTTAAAAGGCCGAAATATGATGGCCTAATCTCCAAAAGGGGGATTTTTTTTCTTATTATTTTGTTATTTAAATTTCTTCATATAATTTGAGGTATGGAAAGATAATGAGTTGAAAAATGACTTTCTAGAGTACTAAAGCGAATCAAAGCAACTTCCAAAATGTGTGTAATTAATCCATTTTCAACGAAAGAATCAGTCACATTTTTGCCATTATTGAGTAACATACCAGAGTACACGTCAGCTTACAGTTCAAGGTACAGAGTCCTGTGAAAAGGTTTTAAACTGATTTAGAAAATTTGGAGATCAAAGTACAAGAGGAACTGAGTCAAATAGTTGTCATTTAAAGCCCCCAAATGAGTCCCTTTATTTCTTTTTGCTAGAGGAATGGTTTTTATAAGAATTAGCATATTAAATAATCTCCCTCATTCCTCTTTTTTTGCATTTACCCAGTAAGTCTCATTTAGCAAAAGGATCTTGGTTAGTTGTTACATAGAGAAGACCTGGAAAACAGGGATAAGATAAGGAAGACTGCTTAAAAGGGAATAACATACTTTAATGAAAGTTTCACTCACATGACAATTCAGGCTGAATAACTTGAAGGATATTTTCTATTGTTGTTAGTATGTTCATATGTAATATGTGCATGGCCACATACGCAGTTTGTTGATGAGCCAGTCTGAGGATTTTATCATTTAGATGTTCCCTAGGAATGAAAGAATGACGTGTTAATACTATGACTAACTGGTTTCCAAAGAGCTATGATTTTTTTATGGTTAATAAACATGAAAATATGAATGAACTGTAGAGACTGAAATGAAGATCCCTTTTTCTCCTATTCTAGAAAAAATCAGCATGTCTTCCTCCAGATTGGGGCTCCGTTTGGCTGCCTGTTTACTAAACATTTCAGAAGCCAGAAGAAAACACATTGTTGAGAACATAGCAAAAGCAGCTCTTCTTGGAAAAAATGGTAGGAACAACAGACAATTGAAGTGGATATGTAGTGTTTTGATAATACAGTAATTTTTGTACTGTGCAGACAGTATCTATAGAACATTTTTCTTTCTTCTTAGATTGCCCCCCTTGTTTTGGGGCTGTTACAGCTTCTGCAGGACTCCAGGATACTGAGATAGAGCAGTTCCACAGATGTGCACATATGGTCTTTTCCAAATGCCTGCATGTGCTCAGCACAGCACAGTTTCTGACACTGGGGAGAGAGTGTCTGAAATGCCCACTGTTCAGGATATTGGCACGCTCCTGAGGAGAGTGTAGGTACATGCAGGTTAAATGTTCTCCTCATAGACCATTTATTTGGTCATTAATAGAATGAGCATAATTGGGCATTGTGCTTTTTATTCAGCAGGTTACATAAAAAATAAACGTGCCAAATACCATCTCTTTTTTCAAAGCACTCCTGCCAGCAAAGCCCATGCTATCATTACAGCATTATTATTTCGATTACATTTTCTCTTTTTAAAGAAAGGCTCTTAGGCAATTGTATCTAAGTGATGCGTGTAAGATCACTTAGCAATTGAGAAGACTGGAACTCAAGCCTCCTTGTTCCCTGGGCCAGTATTTACTATGAGAGATATTACTCTTTTTAACCCTTGTTGAAATGTTCATGTGATGACGCAGTTCTAAGATATCATTTGTTTTTACTCACACACACACACACACACCACAGTGAATTTATAGACTTACAAATGTTTAAATAGAAAACTTTGTTATTAAATGACATTTTTTGCCAACAGGTAAACATTAGGACCATTGCCCTAAAGCATTTCAGACAGTATATTTTAATTTCTGATTGTGGTTTTAAATTTAGTTACTGCCTTTTATGAGAAACAAGTGTTTCCTTCAGCCCATTTCTAACGATGAGCACATTTAAATTACTGTCTTGCAACTTTACAGGAGCTGGAAATGTCTATGAAAATTCCTGATAATTGCTGATAAGAAGAACCCTCAGGAGTCAGCCAGCTGAGCTTTTGCATTCTCTTTGTGGGAATAGCCCACTTGGGCCCCTCATTGTCTGACAAGTACATCTAATGGGATTGGGTTACCTGTCTCTGTGATTAAATGAATGGGCAGAGACTTTGGGGGAAGCCACACACTGATGGATGCCTTGTCTCAACTCACCATTTTTATCAGCTTATTAGTGGCAGCAGCTCAAATGGAATTATAGCTATTATGCTCCATTACAAATACCAAACAATTTACTTCTGCTGAGATTCAGACTGACAGGTCCTCCTGCCAGCAGTAATTTTTTCCCTATATGCATGCTTAAGAAATTGCAGGAGAAAGTGTTTCATTCTTTCAGCATCTGATTCAATTGAGTCATATGAAACTGAGAATAAAAGCTTTTCAGAAGAAGATTTAGGATGAAAAAATAAAATCATCTCTTTTCTTCTAGGAGCTAGGATATGTTGAAAAATACATTAAAAAGGAGCTTGTAAGATCTTGTTCTTGCTCCATCTTTTATAGTTATTAAAATGCAGGGAAGGTAGCATGAGTTAAGAAAATGACCTATTGTTTAAAGGCATTTATTTTTAAGTGAGTGGAATAAAAACCGTATCTCCTATAATTTTTCTAATTAAGTAATGTTAAAACATTTTAAATGGCCTAAAAAGTCTAAGGTAAAGCAACCTGAGTTATAAATTTTAGACCTACACCAGGGCAGGACTGTATAGATGCTCATTTGGCTATGAGCGTGTGACATAAGTTTATCTTTTCACATTATTAAAGTTAATAGCATAGGGCTGCTGTAAGCTCTGCATGCAGCTTATTTTTCCTCTCTTCTGAAAAGATTAATTGTTGAGCTGCCGGGGGACAGGGCGACAAAGGTATAATGGCATAGTGAAAGGGTTAATTACCGCCTGAAAACTTGTCCTTCTCTTTGAATTTGCTTTTGCAGGCTTAAGGGGGTCTGTTAAGGGGCCTGAACCAGGCTCATAAACTTCAAAAATAACTTTGGGGTTATGTGTGGCAGCCATACAGGGTATGGCAGCTTTCTTCTCCAGGTTACACATTCCAGTGAGTCACAGGCCCCTGAAAGCTGGAAGTCATTAACATCTGAAGACTGTTGGTGGCCTCTGAAAAGGAGATGGTGGAGTCAGAGCAGTTTCTAATGGACAGGTGCATACATCCCAGAAACCTCTGCTTCAGGCGCTAATTGACCTATCCTAGTTTTTCCAGATGGCAGATTTTTTTTAAATATATCTTTATTGATTTCAGAGAGAGGAAGGGAGAGAGAGAGATAGAAACATCAGTGATGAAAGAGTCATTGATCTGCTGCCTCCTGCACCCCCCTGACTGGGGCTTGAGCCCGCAACCCGGGCATGTGCCCTGACCGGGAGTCCAACCTTGATCTCTCGGATTCTAGGTCGATGCTTAACCACTGAGCCGCACTCCGGGCAGATGGCAGATTTTTATCCAGACAGTTTGATTTCTGGGCTTTGGAAGGAAAAATTGATAAGGCCTAGAAGATGAGATTGAGAAGGAACAGGATTTAGAGTGATGTGGTGATTGAAAGAAGAGTCTACCATCTTAGACTGAGTTAAGAGATACCAAAGGCTAGTGTCTGAACTGAGCCATCTGGTAATATAGGAAGATGCTGTCAGAAGTGGACATTGCCACCCATGAATTTCATGATTCGCCAGTGTCACTTCAAAGGTCACACCCCAGAATTTTTCTATTGAACTACATTTAATTGTATCAGAAGAAATAAAGTATTAAGGCTTCATCACACAAAAATAATTCTTGCATTTATGTTTTTTTTCTTTACAGGGAAGAAACATCCTGAAGTATCAGTACTCAATATATTTTCTGATCAAGACTACAACAGATCAGTCATTACAATAGCAGCTTCTGTTGAAGAATTAAGTGAGACTTCAGTTTCTTTCTTTACATATATGTCTATGATGAAGGGAGCCTTCAGTTATTTGCGAATGCTCTCTAATCGTTGATTTCCCGTGCAAATATGAATAGTCCATTGCATGCAGAGTCTACCTCAAAACTACATTTCATCATTTTTCTGAACATACACATGTCAAACATTTCCCATTTCTTCTTCATTAAAATAACCTTGACGTCCAAGAATTGATACTATTCTTTCCCTGAAGATGATAAATGATCACACATCCTTTATGGTTAAGAAAAACATCAAGCTTTAACCAGTGGAGTAATAGTGTTGAAGTCAGCCTTGATTTCAATGATAAGTTCTCATAGAATGAAACATGCTGAGCAGTTGTATTTTGGTTGGGAGCCTGAAATCTTGAGTTGGTTCATAGGTTGAAATGAAATGGGCTCCATGTCTCATGTTGTAAGGTTTAGTGGGACAACTTGAATTTGAAGGATCATCTTTGTTTAAACAAAAGCTTGTATTATCTTAATATTGCTTAGTAAAGGTTCAAAATATTTTTAAATGAACTTTATTTCAACTCGCAGATTGTCTTTTTTTAAAAGGTATGTTTGTTTGAAGAACAAAGAGCTGATTGATAACTCCCAGCAGACAGGCCAAATGATCTTGAATGTCAATCATAAGATGTAAAATTTGCTTCTTTGTTGTTTATCTTTCTTATTAAAATGGTCATACTGTACTGCTAATGAAAACTCAGAGTAATAACATAAAACTCTTAGGTGTCTAGCATATTTATTTAGATAAAACAACTTAGTGAAAAAGCTAATTACTGGACGAGCAAAACTAAAATACTTATGCTTTTAAAACTTTATGTTTGTGTGTATATTTGAATATAAATTCATAAAATGTTCTGAAAATAAGAAATTTTATCAAATTAATTTGATAAAATTGAAAAATTTAAAGTAACCAGTAATAAAAAATACAAAGGTGTTTAAGACTCATAAACATTGTATAGTTCCTCCAGTTTGAGGACTAGCGGGGAGAAATGTGAAATTTTATGGCAGTTGGGAGGTGCGGCAAGGGGAATGTTGTATCTTTTACTTTTCTTTATTTTGGATGAAAAAAATCTATGCAGATTACAAAATAAAAACAACTGGTGAGACAATAAAATATGGTTGCTTCTTTAGCTGTGTTTAAAAGTTTAATGATAGTTTTTTACAATTTTCCCTTTTTAAGACAATTCTGTTCTGGCTGCCTGCTTGGAGGCCTTCCAGTCTATCGATATGGAGGTTCAAGAAGGAATCCACCCTTGTTTGGGAGCAGTGGACCTGATTCCCATTTACCCTCTCACTGGTGTTGGAGTGGAAGAGTGTGGAGCTGTGGCCAGAAGTAAGAGAAAGTTTGGGGTAGTGTGTTATTTTTTAATGGAAACCATTTTTACAAATCAGAACAGCTGTGACAATGTAATCGCTCCTCAGCTCCCTGGGAAGTTGAGGACTTGCATCAACAGTAAGGCATCATGGGTTGCAGTGGCACATCGTGTCTGTAACTCCTCGTTCCCGTTTCCACACCATGGTACCACGGGACACAAACTGCTGTGGGATGCAGCAAATCAGTAATTTGTCTCTTACAAATTCGTGATGGATCATGAGGAAACAACAGTAGTTTCTAATGAGTTCCTTAGATTCTTCAGGGCAGAACGATGGTGTGTTTTGCCCATCTGTGTCTTATTTTCTTGAGCTGGGGTAATGATGAGGTTGAAAAACCGCTTAAATGTTAACTCCTACCCCTTTTTACTCCAACTCTCACCCCCCACGCATGCACAGCTCTCTTTAAGATTTTCTTTAGAACTGAACTGTCACATGCTTGATTTCAGCCCCTGGGGTAAGTTTAATTTGGAAAATTTGAGCTATGTCACTTGAGGTGTTTTTGAATTAGGCAAATTGGGAGAAAAAAAAGACCTTTTGCCTGGACTGTCTAGCTGCACCACGGTTAATTACGACATGCAGAGGCTCATAACCTTTGGGGAAAAGTCCGCCTTAGGATAATTGCATTCTTCTCTGTATGACCTCAGAAATCCCTCTATGATGTTGCCTCATTTTTATTTAATAGTGAATTGTCTAACATTTGGGATGTAGATTTGGACTCTAGCTGAGCTACATCAAGCACTAGGAATAGGAAATGAGACTTGTTTCCAAAGGAGAACCTCACTGTTGTGCTGCATTTTAATATGACCTGACAATCTAAGGATTACTTTGCAGCAAAATCTTGGCCCAACATTTGCTTTACGTTTTATCCAAGAATGAGTTAAAATTTAACATGGGGGAAAATATGTTTCACACAAAAATGAAGAGTTCAGAATTGTCCAGACCAGAATAATGATTTTAATTGTCTTCAAAACAATTATGTTCAATTACATTAAATCTCAAATTAGCTAGTACATGAAGTTCTTCATTACATCAGGACTAGTCCGCCCCAGATGCTCATCCTGCATAGGAGATGGTTGACGATCGGAGGGTCTGGACACAGGATCTCTCCCTTCCCTTGCCCTATTGCTTCATTGGCAGCTACTGTACCTCATGATTTAAACATGGACATTTCTAATTAAATGAGAGCTCAGCTGCATTCTTGAACTAATTTATAACATTTGATTTGAAATGTAATAGCTTCAATCTTCATCTGATTAAAAACAGTCATATACTGTACATGGTTACTATTTTGATGCTCCAACATGCAGTTTTTATTTTTACATTCCCCTTTCTGCACAGCTGTTCATCTAATATCATCCAATTTTTTTTTTTTTTTTTTGTAACAACATGCTCAGACATTCTTATAAGGCACAAGTATTCAAATTCTAGGGTCTGGCTGTTCTCCAAACAGTGAAGGGATGTTTTCCACTAGGGTAACCCCTTCGCAGGGAAACCAACTTTAAGTTAATAATCTAACTAGCTTTCTTTGGGAAGGAGGGCAATGGAGAGCAGTCCAGTGACCTAAAAGATAGTTGATATTGGTAATTGATATTGGTAACTCATATATGCTTTATGCATAAAAACTCTGAGTAATATATTTCAGAACTTTCTATTGCTTATACCTTAAGAAAGGGGTTCTTAAAGTGGGCCATAAAATCAGTATTGAGGAGACTTCTAAATACTGTCAAAATCATTTGCAAATTTTTATGCATGTGTTTTCTTATATACATACATAGACACATACACTCACACATAATTTTGCATATAATTTGAGTTTAAGAACTTCTAGAATAAAGGGCACAGCAATGCCGAGGCTCAGAGGTAAGAGCAGCCGGGGCTTCAGAAACTGAGAAGGACTTGAGTGCGGCTGGCCAGAACTTAGAGGTGGAGTGGGATGGAAAAGGCACCCCTGGGAATGTTAAGAAATGAAGCTCAAGAGGTACTTAGAGGTCAGATCATGAAATTTTATATGCCAGGTGAAGGAGATCAAACCTTATTATACAGTGATGGGAACCATTGGAGAGTTTTAAGCAAGAAAGTGGTCTGATTAGCTTTGAACTTTAGAAAGATCACTCTGCCTGCATGATAGAATGGAGAGGACTCAGGCAGATCCATTTGGAAAGTTGATGGTGGCCCAAGGAAATAGAGAATGGAGAGATGCCATAAGATGTTGGGGGTGGGGAACAAAACAGTGCTATGTAAGTGTCATCACTTACAAATGATGGGAGGAAGGAAATTTGGGGGGAAAGAGCATGAGTATGTTCTTTATATGCTGCTATTTGGCAGTTGAATATACTACAGTCGACAGCTAGGAGACACATAGACCTAACTCTGTATTTATTTAAGGCTTACAGTTTTTTTAATGTTTTAGACTTTGATTTTAATTTTCTCTAAAAACCACATTTGATCAGTTAGGCTCCATCTCATTTTTATCTCTATCGTTCCTCTAGATTTTTCCTCTCCTTCCTTTTTCCTTTCCTCTCTCCATCCATCCCTCTCTCCCTTCTTTCATCCTTCCTTTCCTTCTTTTTGCTGTTATCAAAATGAGACATGCATGTGACCGAAAGCCAAGTGTTCTACAGGGTTTGTACCCCAAACATTAAGTACCTACACAGCCCACCTTTCTCCCTCACCATGCACAAACTCCAGTTTCCTTCTCGCCTGAGCCAAGTACTTTCAACTTCCATTTTATTATTTAGGCTCAGCTCCAGATACCTAAATATAAATGGCACTTCTTAGTTTTTTAGTTTTAGGCACTGTCTATTGGCTTCTTATTCATCCCCAACACACACAGACACACACACACACACACACCCCAGTCCTTCCTTCTCTCAATACAGCTATATCAGAATTTGGATCCATACTTAGTGGTTACATTATTATGACTATATAAACATTATTCACAATGAATTATTTAAAATATTATTTTACCCTTTCTGCAAAACGTTTTTTTGCTGAAGTTGCTCATTATCTTTTTGATTGATTACTTAGTTTTTTATCCACTTATCACTGGTTTAACCCCAAACTCTCCATTAATAACATTTCTCCATGCATTCAGATATGACACCCCATGTGTTGAGTATTCTATCAATTTCATCTTCTTGAAGAAATATTTTCTAGAACTCTCCGACCTGTTTCAAGTAGGCTGTTTATCCTCAATTTGTTGAGTATAACTGTCATCCTGGCATCTCCTGGGTGTTCCCTTTATCTTTCTCCATGTTAGAGTCCCTGGTTCCGGAATTCCAAATTCTCTCTCTCTTTCTTTCTCTTAAAATGTATGTCCTTGTTTTGGTGGAGCCCATCCTTTGATTGCTTTCAAAGAAAAGGTGGGGGGAGTACATTTCTGACACCTCGCAGGTCTGAAAATGCCATTATTCTACTTTCACATTTAATTGTTAGCTTGGCTAGGTATAGAATTCCAGGTTAGAAATAATTTACCTTTATTTTGAAGACATTGTGTCACTGAATTCTTATTTTAATGTTGCTTTTGAGACTTACTAAGCCTTTATCTTTGTGATCTGTCATTTTTCTCTGGAATCTTGTAAGATCTTACTTTGTTCCCACAGTTCTGAAATTTCTGTGTGTTCCTTTGTATGGGTCTGTTTTCATTCATTGTGTGAAGACTTGGTAGGCCCCTTGAATCCTTGAAACTCTTGTCTTTCAGTGCTGGACGATTCTCTTGAATTACTCCATTGATGATTTCTTTCATTTACTCGTTTTTTTCTAGAAGCCCCATTATTTGGATACTGGAACTCTAGTATTGGTTCTCTACATTTATTTTCTCTCACTTAATATGTTTATAGTACTTTCTGGCAAATTTCCTCTACTTAATATCCTAAGCCTTTAATAAGTTTTTCATTTATTCTGTATTAGTTTCCAAGTGCTTTTAATTTACTCTCTAAATGTTCTTTTTATTTTATTATTTTAAATAACATCTTGGTCTTGTCTCATGTATGTTGTATCAGTGGATAATTTTTGACATTTTCTTCTATCTGCACAGTGTATGTTCTCTAGCCCCCAATGCCAGGCTGCTGCTGCTTGTTTGTTTTAAAGGCTTTCCTCCTATGTCTGATAATCCATGGTTGACAGCTCACTCTAAGAGTGGGCACTGAAAGACTGAATGGATACTCCGTGTATGTAGATGGGGCTTGTTAGCTGTAGGCTGATGTGACTGTGTTGTTTCTTTGGGGACCTCTTATGTCCGTTTTTTTGTTTTTGTTTTTGTCTTTCCTCTTGGACTGTTCAAGTTCCCCAGAGAAGGATCTTCCAGTCTCCACCCTGGAGTGTAGAAATAGCTGTCTGTGTTTTTAGGAGCTACGTTCTGGAGGAGGGATGAAAAAGTTTCAGCATTTAGTTTGTATGTGTTCTCTTAAGTCCCCTCTTCTCATTAGTCAGCCCTGCCCTCCGTACCCCCCGGCCCGGCCCCCTTGGGTTTCACCTCTTGGTCTTCTGCCACGTGGGCAGGCAGTTTCCTGTGTGGAGAAGTGGGGGGTCCAACTGCTGCTTAAACAGACCTCCTACTGGGGTCCCTGTTTTGATCTCCGCCTTTACCTTCCCTCCCAACGTGAGGCTGCAGGTTCTGAGGACTCGCAGGTGCCTGTGGTATTGACACAGTAATTTGCTGCCTTGAGCCTGTTAAGTAAGTAACCACCACTCCTGTGTCTGCTCTTCAAGTTCCAGCCCTGCTGTTTCCTCTTCCTTTACCATTTGTTTGAATGAGTCAATGCTTTTAAAAAAATACCTCTTTACCATCTTTTTCCTGCAGTTTTTGGAAGAAACGAAAGTAAACATAGGGATCCCACTCCTGTCTTTAATTGGAAGTCCCTGCTTTTCTAGTTCTTCTTTATGATTTTTAATTATCTTGGATCCTGCAAGAGCAATTCCGTGAATTCACCTAATTTGGAATCAGTGGCAAATGTA